CAAACACCGAGCAGCTTTCTGCTCTGAAATTGTTTCCATGCACGATGTATTGCATTGCGCCCTATTGGCATCAGTCTAAATAAAGTGAAGCCGCACTTTTGACCTGGGGGGCATTTTAAAGGGGTTCCACGACGCTGCAACCAGTTCACAACAGATACACATGAACCCTGGCTGTAGGCGGGACCACCTGTGGACTTCTCCTGGATGACGCAATCAGTGTTAGAGCCAATCACTGAAACTTGGTACCGAAAGACGAGGCATGTTTCGATACTCTGTAGAACCGAAGCATTTCGGTCGGTACCATAAAAGAACCGATGTTCAGTACCCAGCCCTATTCGCATATGGGCCAGAAAAACCAGATCTGGGCCACTTCAGGCTGCAGTGTGAACATAGCCTGAGCCACCTAGTGGTAGAACCCCGTACTGACATGTTTAGACACTGGTTTGGAGGTGGAGACCTGCTGCCAACACTTCACCTGACGAACATCCTTTATCCTTAGAAAGGATCAACCATCAGACCTCTGAGGCTCACATCCACCTATTAGCCTGGTTAGGGTGGATGGTTAGCTGCTCTCTAGATCACAGGCAAGGAGGCTTTCCTGAGAAATCCAGATCAGACTGGTTTATCTTTTATTTGTTTAAAAAGCGGAGCGCTCTTTTTCTTCTTTGTCTGTTTAAAAAGAGGGTTAGGGTTAGCATTGGCTATCTAACGCTAGCTCTGTAGGTTCTGATGGGTTCTGGTGGGTCGGTGCCAGTGGTTCTTGCTGAAGGTGAAGGTTCTGATAAAGAGTTGGCCTGGTGCTCCTGTCAGAGGAGAACCAAGGTACCGGTTCTGGTCCAGAGTTCTCAGAGTTCTGATCTTCCAGCAGAACCAGCTGCTGTCTCTCCAGCTGGATCAGAACCATCTAGACCAGAACCAGGCTGCTCTGTGGTTATTCCTCAGTCTGTTTGGGTCCCAGCACCCAGTGGGATCCATCAGAACCGGTCCAGAAGGTCCAGGTCTGCTCCGTGTTTACTGGTTCTGTGGTTCTGTTCCAGGTCCGGTTCTGCTGCAGACACCCAGGCCATCGCTGAGGTGGTCTCCTACCAGCTGGGCTTCCACAGGTACCGGTCTGCGTGTTCCTCTGGTCCTGCTGGGTCGGGGGGAGGTTCTGACTGGTTCTGGTTCTGTCCCGCAGCATAGAGCTGGATGAGCGCCCTCTGGTGGAGACGGCGGCCAACCTGTTCAGAGCGAGCTGCTACCGCTACAGGGAGGAGCTGATGGCGGGGATCCTGGTGGCTGGCTGGGACCGCAGGAAGGGGGGCCAGGTGGGTTCCTGAGGTTCTAGCGGTTCTACGGGTCGCAGGTCGCTCTGACTCTGCGTCTGTCTCCCAGGTGTACTGCGTTCCTATCGGAGGGATGCTGGTCCGTCAGCCCGTGGCGGTGGGCGGCAGCGGCAGCAGCTACATCTACGGCTACATGGACTCCAACTACAAACCGGGCCTGGACAAGAACCAGTGCCTGGAGCTGACGGCCTCAGGTAGGCTGGTGCTGCAGCAAGGCATGCTGGGAGCTGGAGTCCTCCTCTCACCTCTGCCTCTCTTCCAGCTCTGGCCCTGGCCATGGAGAGGGACGGGTCCAGCGGCGGCGTCATCCGACTGGCCAGCATCTCCGAGGACGGCGTGGAGAGACGGGTTCTGCTGGGAGACCAGCTGCCCCGCTTCTCCACCCACTGAGCGCGCTCTGTTTACGTTACAGCTGATAATAAAGGTTCTGTTCATGACTCTGCTGTCTCCGCCTCTCTGTCTCACCCCGTCCAATGGTCCAGACCATGGACCGGACCATGGTCTGTGGGTCGTA